TCGGGCAGTGTTTGATCATTATGGGCTGAGAGGTTGAGTGTAAGACCATAGAGGGTAATACCTGATGGGCTAATCTTGCATCTGCCCACAGTCCCTAGGTGTTACAAAGTGGCTTGGCCCAGGGACCACTTAGTGTAAGTGTTGGGCCCATAGAGCCCATATGATGGGTAATACCTGATGATGGGTTTCAGAGGTGCACTGTCCATAACAGTGTATTCGGCCAGGCCTTGTAACAAAAGCTGGGCTGAACCCATGTGGCTGATGTGTAGATCAATGCTTGGGTCCCACACCATACAAGGAAGCCCAACTGGGCAGCAGTTAGGAAGGATAAGTGAGCACATGACCTTAATGGGCCTAAAGCCCATTTCGAACTGGGCTGTTTTAATTAGTTAAATATGGGGTGAATTCTGAGATGGATTAGCAGATAGGATAGGGTCTTAACCCTATCCACTCAGAGAGTCCAGATCTAAATGTGGTTTAGATCTGGAAACCTCCTAATGAGATTAGGAGAAGGCTTATCTAATCTACAGATAAGATAAGGGTTTATCCTTATCACCTAAAGGGATGTCTGATCCAAATAAGATTTGGATCAGCAACACCTAAAGGGATGTCTGATCCAAATAAGATTTGGATCAGCAACACCTAATGGGATTAGGAGCTGATCCTTTAAGGTTACAAAAGAAGGAAGGGGCGGCAGCCTTTAGATTATCACAAGATCATCAGATCACTGCAAGTCTTTAGAGCTGAAATCACAAAAGAGAGAATTCAGCATACCTGCCAAAATACTCTCTTGCCGCCTCTTTCCTACCGCCGCCTCACCTGCCAGTTCGACCTCCTCTTCAGTGGGAGAAATCAAGATTCGATCTTGATATCAGTTCCTTGTGAAGGGACTGATAGGAAGCTGTGCTCACGTGCCATCCTGCTATTTCTTGCGAAGGAACAGGTTCTTGGAGAAGAACACTGCTGATTCTGCTCCATCCTACACTACACCATCTTCCTTGGGCGTGAACACCTTCGTTGGGAGATACTATTTCTCCGTATCAGGTATAATCCTCTCCTACTGCTTTTGTTCAGATCTGGTTCAATTTATGGTTCAAGATTGATCCTTGAAAATGTGATTTTCTAAATAGGGAATGTGATTCCCAGTTGAAGGGAGAGAAAAATTTTTGAAATTCGCCCCCTAATTCCGCAAGATTTGAGCGTCCATACGATGGATCTCTCATCCTTTCAGTATTTGGGAATACTTTTGCTCTCTTTTTGGTGGAAAATAGGTTCCCTCGCAAGATGTGGTAGATTTGCTCAACTCCAACTTCTTGAGGCAACAGAAAAAGAGATAAAGAATTATGAGGAAGGCAGTAAGAGCAGTGGTGGTGTGGGCCATTCGGAAAGGATGAAATCAAAGGATCTTCAATGAGATGAGTAAATCTAAGGAGGAACTGATTGAAGCCATAACAGTTAGGACAACACATTGGCTAAATACTTTAAACCTCTTCCGAAAATTCTCAACCAATGATATAATAAGGGCTTGGACTGAAGTGGCACAAACAGATAGACACATAGAAACTGTATGAGTGGAATGGAGACCTCCAGTTTTTAACAAACTGAAATTGAACTTTGATGGTAGCTCATTGGGCAGTCCAAGAAGAGCAGACATAAGGGGTGTATTCAAAAACAACCAAGGAGAGGTAGTAGCCTTGTATTTGGGACCAATTAGCTTTGGAGACTTGGTTCAGGCTGAAATATTGGCTCTATTACAAGGAATGAGATTTGTGATACCTTGAAATAAGGGAATTTGAAATTGAAGGAGATTCACAACTAGTCATCACTTGGACCAAGAAAATCAACTCGGACCCTTGGAAATACAGACATGCCTTCAGGGAAATTGATACTCCAGCAAATAGGTCCAATTCTACTTTCAGCTGGGTAAGGACTGCCAAGAATCACATGTGTTAGCAAAACAGGGAGTTGACAGGCCTCTTTTATTTTGGGCAAAGTTGTAATATGATGTAATTTGGGTGGAAATTGCTTTAATGACTGTACTAAACTTATGAATTATTAACAAAATCTTTTACTGATCAAAAACAATAAATTAAAGTTAGAGTTAAAACCATAAACCATATGACTTGTAAAGCTTATAATGATAGGGGCACACATTCACTAGAAAGCCATTTTTTCAAGAAATGAAAATTTACCTGCATTGCCAAAAGCTCACAATCCCTTTTGCTAAAGCTGAAAAGTATAACAGGATCATACTGACGCTGAATTATCATTTTCACCATCTTGAAAATGTCACTCTCTTCTCCTGCTTTACCCACCATTAACCCCTTCTGCCACTTCCCATTCTCTCTTTTCTTGTTTCCTTCTCCAGCAGGAAGAAGAGCATTTAGGGCTTTCTGGAAACTGTCCTCACGAAATTTACCCTTTTCATCCACCACCAAGTATAGGCCATCGCCTCCAGAAGGGAAAATATAATGCTGAAGTGGTGTAGGCCGATAATCTGTATAAACAATATGGCATGGTTGTCGGTGTACCTGCATTTTTGGGACAATATTAATATTTTTTAGTCAATGGGAACAAGATTAATACAGCACTATATCAAGCATGGTCCTTCAAACAATGCATACCACTGAAAAATGATATTTTTAAATAGGAGCATTACCGTATGCTGGTGCTTAATGGTAGTATGTAAAATGTGAGCAAGAGGAAATCACCTTTGCTACCCAATCAGCAAACTCCTTAGCATTAGGAACTGTTGCCGACAGGAATACAAAACATGAGTTCTTTGGAGCCATGACAATACTCTCTTCCCAAACTACACCTCTTTCCCTGTCACGCATGTAATGTACCTCATCAAAAATAACCCAGGCCACCTCCCGCATAATCTCTGATCCTTTATATTGCATACTACGCCAAATTTCCGTGGTCATGACCTGAAAACATCAGTTCTTGGATCCTACTTTCAGTCTCACAAAGAAAACACAAAGAAGCACAAAATGAGTCATTCAACATACCAAACATGAAGCATTTGGCTCAATGGTTATGTCTCCAGTCATCAAACCAACATCTGAAAACTCTTCTTTAAATTCTCTAAATTTTTGGTTGCTCAATGCTTTGATTGGTGAAGTGTAGATGACCCGCTGGTTGTCTCGTAAGGACATTGCAATAGCATACAGAGCTACTACCGTTTTTCCAGCTGATGTATGGGCAGATACCTATAAGAAGACCATAGGAAAACTTTAAGTACACCTAGGGAGGTATCTATCATGGTGTTATATGTAGGGACACAAACTTCTTTGTTTTCTTTGTTCTCTGTTTACAAATTAATCATACAAGCATAGGGCTATCCAAAGTCGATCTAAAGCAGCATGTCTTGTATTCAGGAAACTCATTTCTCTATTTACAAATCATATATCCATGTTTTTCTTTTTCTTTATTTACTAATCATACATCCATGTTTTTCTTTTTCTCTATTTACAAACCATAAATCCATTCAAAAATGAAAAGAAAATTCTAAACAAAATAAAATTCATAGAATTAAAAATACAAAACAGTAGCAAGTCTGAGTGGTGAAGTGCGGAACCCAATCAAGTACATAACAGAAGGAAAACTAGAAACTAAGAGCCATATCAAAATGTAACAACATTGTTAAAAAAGGACTATTATGGTGTATAACTTGTAGAATATATTCAGCAGTATGGCACATGAGATAAAAATAGCATAGATGATGCAAGCTTCTTGCAACCAATCAGCTTAAAAATCCAGGTTAATTGGTCAAGAATTGAATCCCCTCTTGGACCAATGGAATAGATGTTCTTTTTCCTTCAATTTTGATGAAGTTATCCTGCTTCTACCTAGGGCTGTTCATGAATTGGGCCAAACCGATTAAACCAACCCAACTTGATCTAAGTTGGTCGGCTTTGTTAAATTTTCAATCAGCCTTGGTTTATAGACATAAATAAGCCGACCGATCGGTTTGTGTTGCAGTTTTTGAATTTAGTAATTTACAAACCAAGTAAAACCGATCTGAACAGTTGTATAAAGTGGGATACATAAATGGTTGTAGACAGTGAGATACATAATGTGTTATAATGGTTAAAAAAGTCAATTCTCTCTCACATGTGATATGTAATGTAAACTACTTTTTCTAAGACATCACAAGACAAGGACATGACTTACCAAGTTTTGTAGGTCTGCAATCCTAGCCCCTACCCTCTAGGCCTATTTTTAGGCAAACCGCAAACGTGTACAATTCATATTCATTGTTTAACTCCTTATCACTTTTTCATTAAATTTGTATTTTGATATTTGATTAAAATATTCAAATAATTATTTGTTATCAAAACAAGTGCCATAAAAGCTGTACAAGTCGTAACGATTTTTCTTTTTTATTTTCAATTTTCATGTCATTTCATACGAAACCCCAAGCTACAACCTATAAACTGCAAAAAGAAAAAACAATCCATCAATGGAAATCTCGGTTCGGTTAAAACCGACCAAACCGAGCATCTGACAGCATTATTTTTAACCGGTTTGTGTTATTTTTGGGTCAGTTTCGGTTGGCTTATTAGCCAATTTGAGATGTTTGGTTCGGTTGCTAAAATATTGTGTAACCAAACTGAACCGACCCGTGAACAGCCCTACTTCTACCAACTGATGGGTGGCTCAATTGGGTACTCAGACATTGCTTGTCCTTATGCAAAATGGAAAGCCATTGGCATATCTCAGCAAGGCATTGAGCACGAGGAATTTGAGCCTCTCTATCTATGAGAAAGAACTTATGGCAGTAGTTTTCACAGTCACCAAATGGAGGTCTTACCTATTGAGACAATAATTTACTATACTAACCATCAAAGTTCAAAGTACTTGTTAGAAAAGAAATGGTCTACTACTCTACAACAAAAGTGGCTTGCTAAATCGTTGGGATTCAACTACAGAATTGAATATAAGAAAGGGGTGGAGAATAGAGCAGACGATGCTCTTTCTAAGCTTACTGAAGATCAAGGTTGTTGTAATGTTGTGTCCAGTGTTCAGCCATTATGGATGGAAGAAATCATCAAAAGTTATGAAAAAGATGCTAAAGCAAGGCAACTCATTGCAGCCCTTTACGTCAATAAAGATGTTGAACCCCATTATCAGTATCACCAAGGCATTTTGCGGTACCAAGGCAGAATTTACATGGGCTCTAACAACACCTTAAAGGCAAAAATTCTTAGTAGCCTACACACTTGAGTTGTAGGGGGGCATTCAGGAATTCAGGCATGCTACAATAGAATTAAGTCTCTCTTCTATTGTCCTGCCTAAAAGCAGATGTTCAGAAGTTTGTGACTAAGAGTGATGTATGTCAGCAAAACAAAGAAGAGATTGTCCCTTATCCTGGGCTGCTTCAGCCACTACCCATACCCAACCAGTCATGGAGCCACATTTGCATGGACTTTTTCAAGGGACTTGCTAAGTTAGAAGGCAAAGACACCATCATGGTCATCATTGATAGATTTACCAAGTATGTGCACTTTATTCCTTTGGCACACCCCTTTACTACTGAGTCCATTGGTCTCTTATAGTCTTATTCCTAGAACACATCCACAAGCTTCATGGGTTACCCCAAAGCATTGTCACGGATAGGGACAAATTCTTTGTTAGTGGATTTTGGAGGGAGCTCTTTAAACTATTAGGGACTCTGTTCCATTTCAATTCAGCCTATCATCTTTAGATAGATGGGCAGACTGAGAGACTCAACAGGTGCTTGGAAACCCATCTTAGATGCATAACATGCCAAAGACCTAAGCAGTGGTGTAAATGGCTGTCCTTGGCTGAATGGTGGTACAATACCAACTACCACACCGCCTTAAAAATGACGCCATTTCAGGCCCTCTATGGTTATGTTCCACCCTAATTGTCTATTGGACATCAATTGAAGTCTACAGTAGCGGCTATGGAGGACCTTTGGTTCCAGAGGCAGCAGATGATACAGCTCACCAAAGATAATCTCTCCGTGGCACAAAATAGAATGAAGCAATTAGCAGACAAGGACCACACTGAGAGGACCTTTCAGGTAGGCGATTGGATCTACCTTAGGTTGCAACCTTACAGAGAGTTCGGTGGCATTATGGCACCTAAAGCTCATGGCCAAATACTACGGACCCTTTCAGGTTCTCCAGAAGATTGGTGCAGTTTGCTTATGAGTTGAATCTGCCACCTACTTCCATGGTGCATCCTGTCTTTCATGCTTCCCAGCTCAAAAGAAAGGTTAGGACCAACGCAAGTCCCCATCCCACACTACCAGGGACTGACTGTCAATTTCGAGTGCAGCCAGTAGCAGTACTACAACACCGACTGATCAAACGACATAATGCTCCAGTCACACATGTATTGATTCAATGGTCACATACAGCTCCAGAAGATCTACATGGGAAGACTGCAGCTCCATTCACAGCCGGTTCCCAGATTTATTGTCATAGCAACAGTATAAATAGAATTAGTTAGAGTGGTTACAAGTCGTAAAAGATTAGCTGTATCTGAGTTGTAACAACTTTTCTCTCTCGCGGTTCTGGGTCATACCTATAGAGCTCATATTGGCTCTAGGTGTATCTCAGGAATTTCCAAGTTACAGTTCAACTGTAGCACTCAATTTCTATCAAGATAGCTTCCATATCATTTAAAAATTTAAAGTATGATAAACAGACGACGAGCAGAACAAATTTCATGAGAAAAGACACTCGAAACAGGAAACGAGGAATGTGGGTCTGTCAAGTAATATTAGAATAATGCTACTTCATAGCGGGAAGAATTGCAGCTCACCATAACGGATTCACCATTATCAAGGCATTTGATTGCCTCCGACTGAAAAGGGTCAAGCTTGAAAGGAAATTCCTTCGCAGGCTTCGAATGTTCTCGAGTTGAAGATTTTGACGAATGAACGTAACCTTCGGGGTAGGAAACGTCATGAACACAGGCTACCGTCTCATCTAGACGAACCAAATCGTTCTCTCTCTGCTGTTTCTGCGGTTGGCCAGACTCTTCTGAGGGACTGTCGAATGATTTCCTCTTCAAAGGCCCCATTGACGCTCAGAACAAGGATTCAAAACGGAGAGATTACTTACAAGCAATTAAATTTCAAGAACCACGAAAACACTGGATTTGTGTCGTATTTGAGAGAGGGATCCTTTTTCTATTTTATTAGGGTTTTGGTCTGCTTAGGATAACCGCCATGGTCTATGCAAGTATGCATAAATCCAGCGAGATAGAGATCAAATGTTTGTCAGAATCGGACCTTTCGAACCGGAGGTCAAAAAGAGATCGGCTTCAGTCACTGCAAGGCCCGTTGGAACAACCATCATAATCTTGCATCGGGAATATCTCCCCCGATGCAAGGCTGTAAAGGTGGTTAGTGTTTGAACGGGCCAATCTCATTTGAAAGGAGTACAAATACAGATTTATAGAGTGCAAAACTATGTATTTTATATTATTTTATATGGATATGTACCGTACATATTTATATTTATACTCCTTCTAAGCTGAGCTTTTATAATTTACGGTGCAAAATTTATTTGTTCTGGTGTAAATGACTGTATGAGAGTAATTTGGAGACGGCAATTTGACGTGTCCTTGTGTCACCATATAGCCCTACCCTAGTCAGGGCGGGATTTTTTACCACTCGTCGGGGTTCAAGGGGTTCTGAAAAACCCAAAATTCAAGGGATCAAGAATGGAACCCAACATTGACCCTGCCCCAATTATATTATATAATATATATGGGTTTCACTATGATATGAAAAAGATATGATATCCAAAAAACAACTCACCAATAAAACCATAATCATAAACGTGGTAGGGAACATAGTGTTATTTATCAAATTCATGGGTGGGTTTTGATTGGTCAAAATTTATGGAGGGAGTACAAATACAAATATGTAGAGTGCAAAATTATTTTATATACATTTGTGCTATATATATTTGCATTTCTACTTTTTTCAAACTAGTCTAGTTGTTAATATATGTTATATTATATTATACTATATTATATTACATAAAATAAAATAGTTCTATGTAGTTTTCAAAAAAAAAACGAAAAATAATAATAAATTTGTAATATGCAAGTAGGAATGATTGAGGCGGGACGGGGCAAATTTGGGGATCCCCGTTCCTTGCAGGGACGGGATGGGGATAGGATTTCTAGCCCCATTGGGGTTTGGGGCAAGGACAACTAGACAGGGATGGAACATTTGAGTTAGGGGTTGGGTATGGGGCAAGCAAAACCTGCCCCAGCTTTGGGACTGCTGCAACAAAGTTGCAAGTCAAATAACTCTGGAAAACTTTCTTATGATGTCAAATTACCATAGAAAAAGTCCAATGAGAAATTTATTATAGTCCCATTGCCAAGAAGGTATTTTATGCTATCTTACGAACTTCTTTAAGATTTTACAAAGTCCCCTTCATACTCAACAACCATATGTCTACCTATAGTCGAAAGCATTACACTCGTTATCAATTAGTTCTTAATTCTTGATGTTTCAAGGATGTGTCAATTTATATCTTTCCCTCCTAGCTTTTTATTATTTGTTACACACTCATTTTTCACAAGGATTTGCCAATTATTTGTCTTCATTATAGAAAGGCTCCTTGATGTTGGAAGACTACCAAAGGAAAATTATTCAATTTGCATATATACTCCCATCTCACCATATGACATTTATCTTCATCTTTCCAACATTTATACAAGAAATCCCTTATTGCCTTCACCTAGTTTTTAGTCACCTCCATTGGGATTGAAAAAAGAGACACATTTTAAACCGTTGGTCTTGAAAAGACACTTTTTGTTAGAGTTAATTTACTCCTCTAAGATACATTGCTAAGGGTGTCCATGAAAAATCGAAAAATCGAAAAATCGAACCGAATCGAGAAAACCAAACCGCAAAATGCGGTTAACCGAACTGGTCGGTTCAGTTTTGGTTCGGAATTTTTGAAAAACCGAAGGACCGGTTTGGTTTTCAGTTAACCTATAAAAAGCCGACGGTTAACCGAACCGACCAGTATATATATTTATATGTATATTTTATAAATATTTTTAATATATGTCACATATTTTCTATGTATTTTATATAAATATATATTCATTATATATAAAATATATACTTATATTATATTTATAATGATCTATTTATAAATATGTTATATCTTTTTAAAATATTTATAATATATTATATATCATTTATTATTTATAATATAATAATATACATATATTTATATAATATATACTATAAATATAAAAAACCAAAAAACCGAAGAACCAAACCGGTCAAAAACCGAAACCGGCGAACCGGTTAACCGGTGGTACCGGTTCGGTTTTAGTTTGGCAAAATGAAAAAACCGGTACTACCTTTTCGGTTTACAAAAAGGGGCCATGGTTCGGTTAACCGAACCGTGAACACCCCTATACATTGCTAATGGCCTATATAGTTAGGTTTCAAATGCTTTTTATATTATGTTTGGCGCCTAGGGGTAAACCTAAATAGTTAGTTGGAAATTTTCCCGCTTGATAGACAATAACTTCTATCAAATTTGATATATTTCCCACTTCTCATATTACCACACATCTCATTATTTGCCACATTTACCTTCTAACATGAGACTACCTCAAACTAACCTAAGATATGTAGGAAATTGAAGACCCATTTCAACATATTATCCAAAAAGAACAAAGTGTGAAGTTAGGGAGGTAAGGCAACACATAGTAAGGTCTCCTTAAAAGGCAAAGGATGACCGGAGGGGTGAGAGAAGGAAAAGGGTGTTAGTCTAGGACAAGTAAGGATGATGGTAATGGAAATAAGAAGGCAGAAGGCTTAGTAGGCAAGAGATCTCTTAGTACTTTTGAGATGATCCCGTTTGGAGGCTTTCAAGCCTCTCCCTTTTATAGATGAGTAGATTAGGCTATAAAGGGATACGAGAAATGATAGGAAGAAACTTTATTGTCTTGAAAGGTAGTTATAATTCATTGAATACATAATGGTTAAGTTCACTAGGTTTCACCACATATCCATAAGCTTTTAACGTGGGAAAATTTATAGCTACAACCCTTTTAGCTTACTTGTAATGACCACACGACCACATGGATGAGTTTCTTTTGATGACCACACGACCAATTGTGAATAAAGTGCCATCACGGTTACCTACATGGCGTACTCTACTGTCAGGCTACTCTAGACATTGTTGGTAACCATGATTCTCATTTACTGGTGACACTACATGTGTCATTGTAGTTCTTGTATGATTTTGGGAAATTACAGGGTTTTGTGATTGCGACTTGCGATGCCTCTAGCAATTGATATAGTGTTCATCATTGGTTCTGCTATTGTGGTTGCCTTTGTGTTATCATGGTCCTTATCACAATATATATGATGGTGATCTACACATACTTACATTTAGCCCTCCAGTTTATTGATAGGAGTATTCATCAATAAGCATGACTTATTGTCAACAACGTTAGTCATTTTATGATTTTTGAAAATGGGTTTGGTGATCTTGCAATGTTGTTTATGTTATTTTTGAAAGGAGTCTAATGATCTCACGATGTTTTCTCTTAACATTAGCCCCTTGCTTATTGATAGAAATATCATGTCAACAAGCAAGAGTGCTAGGGTGTATGTTTGATTAAGGTAGGATAACTTTTTGGATGATTGTCCTTTCATATATGTGTGATTTGTTGAGTTGTTTAAGTTTTTTTTTTTTAATACAGTGAATTCTTTAAATTTTAAAATAGTATTTATTGGGATTTAACTAGCCATTACACCTAACATGTGTGTTTAGGGATGACACAAACAATTAATGTGTAATGAGATGTTATGATTAAATTTTGAGGGATTCATTTGCAAATTAAGTAAATCAATGTCCCTTTTTAAGAAAAAGCTATATATTGATTATTTCCATAATTAATATAAACAAGGTACTCTAGGGTCCTACTTTTCACATCACAAGATAGTAGTCTCACAAACTAAACAAGGCATTCCTCTCCCATGAAAACTCTCGGTACACAACTCTTTTCCCAATTGAATTTCAACCTTGAGATCCATTGGAAATGATCATTTAGGGTTTTTAAATTCCTTAGGGTGAGTTCACTATAGTTATATAATTTGCAATTTGCAAACGAGAAACAACAACCCAATACCTACCAATCCTCTAACCGTTAATTTTGTTGTGTAGACCAACCTTAATGATCAACCAACTTAGCACCTCACCAACAAGGGTGACCCAAATAAGGGTAGTTAGATCTGTCAGACACTCCATTTGTCACTATACATAAATGTGCTAAACTAATACAACCTGTGATAAGACCTTAATCTCTCTTCCAAGCACACTTTCCAACATACCCGGTATGAAGGACCGCCCAATACCCTTTTTCTCCTCATTCAATTTTCACATTCGTTGTGAACTATGAAACCCTATGAGTTTGCCTCTCCTCCCTCCCAAAGTCCCAAGTCCCAAACTCGACAATCTCCCTTTAGTCTTCAATTATCCCATCAACCTCTCAACCTCAACAGCCAATAGGGGTTCTATAACTTTATTTTGAGTGTTCTTCAATTTCCTTTCTCCAATTCATCCAAACAGGCGGAGTATTTCACGCGTTAGTTGGGCCCCTATAACTTTTGAAAGCTTGAAGCTGGTTCAACTGCTCCATAGTACCATATCTTCACCATTTAATGACCAACTCATGCCGCTTTGCAGTCCAAGTTCTTATATTCGGTGTCCAAGATAGAGCATGAGATTACGTATTTATCTTTCAACCCTATATTATATGATAATATATCATTGAGGCAGGTCAATTAATCTTATAATTTAGAAACAATTTAAGGCCAAAAAAATAACTTGGTCGAAGTAGTTAGAAACAATTTAAGAGCTCAATGTTTAACAACGGATATAGCATTTGACAAAACAAGATGATAGAGCAGGATTCATGCCAAAGACTTAAAGGAAATATTTCATGTGACATCCTCTTGTTATTTAACAATTTATGGGAAAATTTTAAACCATAACCTGTTGTTTTATTGCTATTTTTTCATTTGAATAAATCAAACAATATTCAAATATTAAAACTTTGACTCATGAGAAAATTATTAATTATGAGAAAATACAAATAGCAAGTGGTATTGGGGTTGATTTTGATTAAAGGATTAAATAAATGGTCAATCCAAAGGGTCCTCTATTTTGTTGATGCATGGCTCATATTGGCCACATCATTCATGTACTAAAAAGCTCCCCACCATTTGTTTAGAGACTTTTTTTTTATATGTAATCTCTTGAACCATGTATGATACTATGATATGGCATGAACATATAATCTCTTATCTGTTTAGGGACATTTTGGTATTTCAATGGTTTTT